CTTGTAACTGAAACTGGTTTGATAGGTCGCTGCCCCTGCAACGGAAAGACTCCTTATTAATTAGTTTTCAGTGCCAAAGTCTCAAACAAGCGGTCTGTGCTCCATGCTTCCATTTTTTTAAAGCACTTATTCTTACCGGAACTTGCTACACCTGCCCCTCTGCTCCCAGCTCGCTAGCAAACTGTACTGCAGAACATCAGGAATCCAATGGCCTTTGGATCGACAGCACTGGAGTCGATCCAACACCCCTTCTTTTTGGAAACGTCTCTTTCCTGAACTCTGGGACAACAAAGAGGATCCTCCTCCTGTTTCTCAAACAGCTCCTGCAGTTTGCCTTGGGCAGCCCTCCCCCCACTGTGGATGTCCTTCGAAGCCCCGTCTTCCTCCCTGGCTCAAGTGGCATCCAGAAGCCATTGATCAGAATAATTATTTGGGTCACAACGATGCTCTCTCTTCTGGACGGACTGATTCACTCAGTGTCACCTCTTTAAAGATGAACCCCCGACTTCCTTCTCTGTCCTTAGCCTTGGTTCCAACCCCGACTTTCGTATCTTCACTGACTCGATATTTACATTTTGGTTTTCCAATTCAATAACCCACTTAAAGCTGAAATGATCACCTCCTGTAACCGGATCTCTCCTGCTTTTGTTGATTTTGTTTAGTTGTGTCAGTGATTCATTCTTCCAGTCCGCAGGGTCCAGACCCATGTTTCCTTGGATGCTCTCCTCTCTCTCCTGCCTTGCAGTTTTATTGATTCTCTCTTCGCATGATGTTCCCAATCCATCCTTTGGCTTTGTGCCCCTTCCCTGTCCTCCTGCTTCCTGTTCTGATCTCATTTATCTTTATGCTTTGACCACAGTAATTCTGCTCAAATTATTTGTTGCATATTTGTTCCGCTTAAAGATTTCCACTGGATCTCTATGGCCTGAGAATAGTCCAAACTCCTTTGCCTGACACACGAGTCCCTGCAAGGTGAAGGCTCTACCTCAGCTTCCAGTGTTTTCGTCCACTCTGCTTCCACATTAGCTCTTGTCCCATTAGCCATGGTCCCCGAACACAAATCCCCATTCCTGAATCTCTGCCTTACCCCTCCTTCTCTCCTTCCCCACTCGAAAGGCCCTGCCCCCCTCCTGCCTGCATCCTGGCTGCTGAAACGCAGGTCCCTGTGCCCACTTCCGCCGACGGTGCTTCTTTCTCCCTCTTCTGCACCCCAGTCTCTTAATTGCTTACCCCTTTGTCATCCCAAACTGCGGCACACGTCTGTTCGTGCCAGAGTTGCCCTTTATTCAGACTTTCACCTGTTAACTGGGAATTCCCTTTTACGGTATGCAGCGTTTGACGGATGTCTACGTCCCGCTCGGTTAGCAGGTTAATTTGTGTGGAAACAGAACCCGTGTCTCCCAGTTTGGGTTTCCCGTTCGCCCCATTGCCACACGCACAAAGCTATGCATGACGGGTGCTTAAGAACTGTTACTTCGTTGTTTCTCGATTCTAAGACGAAAGGCTGCGCCTTGTCTGAAGTCTGTTTTGTCAGATGGTACCGCACTGTGGGGACAGAGATGCGGAGGAAGCAGCTGACCACACCTGTTCTCTCCACACTTCCCTGTTATACTGGTCCATGGGCCTCCCCCTCCGCCCTCGTCCCTGCTTTGAAGGGACAATAGGTCATTTTCCTTTGCATCCCACTCTGACACGAAGTGCTCTCGCTTGTACTGTCCTCTGAGTGTAACTGTAGACCCTGGCAGATCTGTTCTTGAAGTTCAAAGAGAAAAGAACGGGCAGACTCAGCCGCACAGAACAAAAGACGACACGTGGCATCCTTGTTTCTTTTTATTGAAAAGGAATCATTTCTATTCTAGCGCAAACAACGTATATTTTACATCATAAAGCAAGATATAATTTACATATTACATTTCTTATGAGATCTTTATACCCTAAATGTCATTCCCTTTTTCATTCGGTCACCTCTTCTGGTTCCATTTAACCTGCTTTGTACCCCACAGCTCGGCATCCTGTGCTGGAGGGACTGGGGACACAGACAGGCAGCGTGGATGTGTGCATGTGCATCTGCGTGTAATGACAGTGACGAGCGAGGGTATGCCTTTGGACTCTGGCCCTGAGGCCCTCTGTTGTCGCCTAGCTCCGGAGCCAAAAGGCTCCTCCTGCAAATCACATATGAAACTTCTCCTTCTGTGGAGTCGATAAGCGAACAACACTGATTGCTTACACCACGGGTATACTTCCTGATCTAGTGCTAAGATAGTAGATGCTTGTGGTATACGTTCACCAGCAATGCCGGTTCCTACGGCACCAGCTCCTCGTGGTGCTCCCAGACACCGCTTGCCCAGGCAGGGGCTAAAAGTGCCCGTTTCACCTACCATTCGGATCATGGGGTCAGGCTTTTCTGTTCACCACTGAAAACAGGTGTCAAGATAGACACTTCCAATGGCTTGCACGGCTGTCTCTTGACTTGCTCGTCTAAGATTCCGCCCCCTTCGCAAATGGTTTGCAGGTATGATTTCTGTTCTTGCACTACAATCCAGCTCCTCTTTTAGCCTCACTCCCCAGACCCCAAACTCCAGAATGTCACCAATTTCTTGGATTGCTCTGATTTCACCAGGGATGTTTTCATCGGTTAGGATACACTGTTCCTTTGAAACCCAGTAATCCACAGCAGCTAGAGGGACGACAGGGTTCGCCCAGGGTCTCTCTAGGAAGCAACTATGTGTGCTGTCAGCCAGCCTACGTGACCACTCGGTAAGAAATGTTTGCGTAGCAGGTGAAGAGAATAGGGAACCGGTTGATGAGAGCAAAATGCATCAGATGGGCATCCTTCTGGTTACAGAAAAAAGTACAGAATCGACATTCAAAATTCATTTTCAGATTGATGGCTGTTTGACTGAAAAATGCCACCGTTGCTTACTCTGGTACGCCAAGGCAAATGACAGGTGTGCGCCCAAGTGCGTCTTAGACCCAAATTCCTTGCCTGTGCAAGTGGACGTATTTGGCCAAAATCAATCTAAAGCTTTTCAGTGACGCCTAACTAAAATTATTAGAACCATGCTGGTCAGGATGAAAATGTTAAGTTGAAAATGTGTCTGTTCTGTGTATCTTAAATTATTCTTTGGTCAGATGATGTGGTTTCTGAGAGGTCTGAAAATATGAACCTATTTCTCATTTCCAAATGCAGAAGTTATAAGCATTAAAAGCAGGGCAGCATATCCTTGCTAGAAAACAAGGCCTCCAGGTACCCTGTTCCCCTTGAATGCTTTTCTAGTCCCCTTCCTCCCATGGCTACAAAGTGCTGGAAATACAGAGAATACGGGAGAAGGAAGGAGCAAATGAGTAGGGCCTCACAACACCCCTGTGAGGTAGGCAAGTATTGTTAAACCCATTTTACAAAGAGGTAAACTGAGGCACCGCTTGGCAGTGGGATTTGGTCAAGTCCACCCGACATGTTATAAAAGCACAGCTGGACACAGAGGAAGGAACAAAAGAAGGTCAGTCCTGGCTCCCAGCCCCAGCCACTAGCCTTTATTTCAAAATAGTAGGAAATAACGAGAGCCCATCATGGCCTGTTTTGAAATGTAGACAAACCTTTAAGTATTCCAATAAACACGTGTCTTTCTGATTCCTGTCGGGTAGGAAAGGGCAGATGGCCAAATGGCTTTCCCTCCCGTCTCTAAGTGTGATCCCCACGACAGACCAGGACGGACCAGCGTCCGCCAGAGCTCGGGCTCCAACCTCAAGGACGTCCTTCCAGCCTGACATCGTCTCTCACTTATGTAAAACCCGAATGTAAAAATGAGATCTGTTCGCCAACAGCTGGACTGGGCTCAGTCGCTCTGTGGCCTTAAGAGGCTCTGATGGAGAGAAAGAAAGGAAGCAAAAGTCCCCAATAAACAGGTCTCATCGCCGCAGAGATGAGGAAAGTGGTGATGGAGTGAAGTTTGCTTTCTGTTGTGTTTGCAAAACTGCAAACTCAAGCTTGCAAGGATATTTTATATATATATACTATATAAATATGTACAGTCTCTATATAAGCGTGCGTCCGATGGCCCTTAAGGGATACCGGCCATGCCTTCACAACTTGGTCTTTGTTTTCCGAGAGAAATTTCTCTTCCTCATTCAAACGAAAAATGTGTCATCTACCAAACAGCCCATGACAGCAAATCCTTTCCAAACAACAAAAATCTTTAACTTAAGACAGCTCATTGTTGGGATGGGGGTGATGGTGAGCTCAGCTACAGCTTAGAGCTTAAACCGAGAGCGTAAGCCCGGCGTGGATTGCTCAGAATTCACCAGACACAGCCAGGCTCGTGGGTCAGACAGGCCAGTGGCCGATGGTGCCCGCGACGGCTTGTCTTCCCCCTCCCAGGAGCTGATGGAAAAACCCTCCCATGACCAACAGAGATGGAGACGGGGAGAAAGGGGATCACATCCGGCACAGATTCTTTAGAAAGACTTTGGCTTTTCAGAAGTTCGTAGAGTTCTATTCAGAGAACTGGGAAGAAGGAAGGGGCAAGGCACTGGGGTTTCAGCACGTCATTGAGGAGACTATAGGAAACCATATATATGTATATATGGTTTCTTTGGCTGCTGTAGACTTTTTAAAAACCCATGCAATCATGGGTGGGGGGCAGGGGGTGAGCCCAACTGAAGAAGCTCGGAGTATATAAAGCAAAGCGTGGAGAGAAGGAAAAACAAAGTGAACACACCCAGAAACAAGCGGTGCTGCCGTCCCCGAGGGGGAGGTGCACTTGCGACTAGTTTTCCTCCGGCCCCTCTCCTGCCCTTCTCTGCCATGGTCCCGAAAGCTTCGTGCTGTGTGTGTGGTGTTTTGTTTGTTGGTTTGGTTGTTGGTTTTTATTTTATTTTTTCCAGCAGATGAAGAAATGACAGAACAGGATAGGTGTCTTATGGTGTTGGTTTTGTTTTTTTTTTTTTTTTTTTGGTGTTTTTTTGTTTTTTTTTTATTTCTTCTTAGGCCTGTTTAATAATTTTTTTCCTCAGTTGACTGTTGGCACTTGGTTCCTCTGTAAACTATACTCCTTGGCCTTCAGTCTCAGGTTGGCAATGCTGTTGGCCATGTTGATGCCCTGTGCAGGGCTATTGTTGGCACATGTGGCAGAATAAGTAGCCATGGCACTGTAGGGACAAAGGAGAGAGCAGGGAGAATAACAGGCATTAGTTTCACGAAGCTGCAAGTCTGTGCCCCAGCTGGGTGGGACTCTGAGGAGGGGGCCGGCAGGGGCAGGGGTGGACTGGCTGACCTCTGAGGTCCCTGCAGCCCCAGGTTTCCATTAGTCTACGGCACTTGGCAGAGGGTGGCAGAGGGTTTGGGGGGCCGGGGGCAGCCGTGGGGAGCGGACCGAGGGACGGGGCAGAGAGGCAGCCTGCCGTGCTGGGTTCAGTGAGTCATGGTTTATTTCTGGGGTGACAGAAAAAGGCTGCTTGTGCTGAAGAGCAGGTGTGTGATCAGCTGACCGACGAAAACTGTTTAACCCCTTCCCGCCTACGTCCCTGGCCTGTGGCAGCGACCAGGGAGACACTGAGGCCTCTGAAAGAAGCATCTTTGCCTTCCTCACTCCAGGAAGTCGACTTTCACCCTAACGGTTCAGAGAATCAATAAACACCATATCAAACAGCGTGCTTGGAGACTCAGCTAAGCGACCCAAGGTAACTCCTGCACCATTCTTGATTCCTGGTTGGCAGTGCCAAGCATTGCCTCGTCCAGAAGGTCCCATCCCGTTTGGCCTTGATTTCATAACTTCTCGAAAGGACTCGAGCAGCTCCGGACACTGCCCTTCGGGCCATTTTGGGGATGCTGCAATCTCCGAGATACAGAGCAAAGGCCTCCGTCCCGGGATGCCCGACCCGCCTCTCACTGTCTGTGTCGCTGAGAACAACCCGAAGTTCCATTTCCCTATGTCAGAGATTGTAATTGAGACCTAGCAATACCACCGGGAAGAGATTTGTAATTGTTGGTTTTCTGTGACTTAGACCCACGAATTGCTTTTAAAGGAAAAAGTAATGGTTTCCTAGACTCGGAGGCAAATTATCCATTACTTTATATAAACAGTTAAAAAGGAACTCATTTTAATGGAACGAAACCATCTCTGGTTGTTTCTAAGATTAGCAAGAGCCCGTCCAGCTGAGACAGACGTACAAACGGAAGGACAAGGGCTCCCCCACTGCCCCGTGCCAGTCATTCCGTCAGCCACACAGGGGTTTGTGGTTCCGGGGATCGGGTGCCAGACAAGAAGGAGAGGAAAGGAAAGCTACCGTACCCCTCAGGAGCCTGTGTCATTAATACTTATTCGAGACACTGCATCATCAAGACGTATAGTCAAGGCCCATAATAGCCTCTTGCGGCTCTGTTACTAGCAAGTAACCCGGGAAAACTGGGTTGAAGAAATATAATTAGTCCCAGGTCACTAGGTCTTTCCAGAAATACACATCCTTAATGTGAAATCCTTACAGCACTGGTGTGTGTGTGTGTGTGTGTGTGTGTGTGCGCATGCACAGAAGGAAGAAGGTTCAGAAAGGCTTTAAGAGATCCGTATGTTCTTGTATTCCGTTTTCACCCCCTCTGCTCTGACTCATTTCTAGACTGACGACTTGAACCATCTACACACAGTTCGGTTCTCCGATGGCTCCCTGGACTTTTCCCGTTAGCACTCACTTTAGTTCCTGCCCTGTAGGTTCCACAGATTAGACACCGTGTCTGCCTTGCTCATCTCTGTCTCCCCGGGTGGGGTGAACCCCCTACCTACCACACATTTGGCCTCCCAAAACCTATTTAATGAAGACATAAACCACTGAGAAATGTCTAAATACCGTATGATCAAAACGATTCCAGATCAATGTCATTTTTCTCTGTCATCCTGTTTCGAGTAATATTCGAGAGATATTTTCTAAAAATATTTCACCAGGATGCTTTTATTCTTAGAAGTGAGCCCTTCCCGTTAATTTTGCTGTCTTCATAGCACGTATAAAACCAGAAAGGCCATGACAAAAGCGGGGGATGGTGATTGCATGCCCTTCAATCCATCAAAAATAGCTTTTAACAGTGAAGAATGAACAAATATTCGTGCAGGCTAGACTTACAGAATAGACTATCACGTTGACCACTGTCTACCATGCAGAAAAAGAGTCCCGAGTTAAGGTAGGTTTCAATTAGGAGTGAGATCAACGATCAGAACAACCCATTAAAATCAAACACGCCTTTTCCCCCTTTATAATATACCAAGAAACTTCATTTATTTTCAAACCTACACATATATAATCATTTAATTCCTAGATGAGTCGCATGCTTCCATTCAAGAGCCTACCAGAAACGCTCCCTGGTGGCCTAGTGGTTAGGATTCGGCGCTCTCAGGAAATATATGCGGGTTTCTAACCTCCACTCAAGGAAGTTCTAGGACACGCCGAAATCTAAGATTTCAGAGAAATCAAAGATCTAGGTTAGCATGAAAAGAGACGCTTGGATTCGGGAAATGTGCCTAAGTCACAGATCACAACATCAACCAAACCAGGCTCCTTCTCAACCAGGTGTCTGAGCGAGAACGAAGCCCCAGAGATGGTCCTTCGGGGTGTTATCAACAGGAATCACTATTTACCTGTATTGTCTGTTACGTACTGAGGATGAAGTTGGACAGCTTCCTAAAACGGAAGGCTAAACCCAAACCACTATCGTTGCGGTTTCGAGCTCATCTGTTACAGAGCCGTTCTCGCTGCGGTCTCTGCGGAGCTTCCTCGTACCATCTGATAGTCTCGCCTGAAGACCGATGCGGCTGACACGTCTCGGAAACACCGAGTTTTCTCACCAGATGCGGGCCGGAGAGTCATATCCCCCCTCGCTCGATCCACTTTCCAACTCAAAACCGAGCGAGTGGAAATTAGGGCCTAGCTTGCCCAGGAGATGAGATTTTCACTGAGATGGTTTCCCTTAAAGGGCAGCTGGAATCGGAGCAGAGAACCCGCCCTGACTGCGCCGTGGCCGCGAGGCCTCGAGCGAGCAGGGCCTGGGGACAAAGCAGCAGTTGACATTTATGAGCGACTTCTGCAGTCTCCAAAGAGCTTGGCCAGGGGTAACATCTCCACTTGACAAATGTCCAGGAAAGTTAGAAGCTCTCAGAAACGGACCTAAATCTCAGAGCCATGACAAGGAAACGGAGAGAGACGGTCCTGATGCAGGGCCTCTCAGCAAAAGTCGGGCCATCTAACGACAGGCCGGGGCGGCATGAGGCTCTGTGCACCCCAGAGGGGACTGTGCGTCCGGATTCCCGCAGGGCTTGGACATGGGTTTCGGTTCTCGACCTGGACTAACAGCGGGAGTGGTCCTTTGACGTGTCAGTGACGAGCAAGACTTGTTCCAGGTCAGGAAATCCAGAGTTAGGGAGGGGCACCCCAAAACAACATTAGAAGTTGGCTGGAGGCAACCCGCTTGCAGAAGCCATAGCAGGTGCGAGAGAGCCTTGAGCAGCTGCCAATCCGAGTGTTCACGACCACCTGTTCCCCTCCTCCTCACAGCTCCTCATGGGTGTGAGGCCAAGAAAGAGAACCCCGAAATGTGTTCTCACAAGACAGACGCCAATGAGAGCAAAGAGCTGTTTTCAATTAAATGTACAGGGCCGTCCGAACGAAGTGGTTTGTCTAGATCAAGCACACGGTCACACCAACAGCCTGCTGACCAGCACCCCGAGATCCTGGCCCTGGGTCTTCCTTTTTGAGTAAGAAGCATGGACTTCCTCTAACATGACAGGCCAACGTGCCCTTTGGGACTCGGGGTTCACAGAGCTTGGCTCAAGCCACATTTCTGTTTTGTTTTAAAGGATGTCAAGGCCTTTGTGTCCCTGACCAAGAAACAATGTTGCCAAACAAAGTGCACTGAGGAATCAGAGATGAAAAGGAATGCTGGCGTCCCCCATGTCCACTCGAAAGTCTACCCCAGAGACCCCCCAGAGCGGACACAGGGACGTGAGCTTGAACAGGGCACACCTCCTTAGTGGAGATGCCCAAGGAACGGCACCCAGGCTAACCACCAGCAGGGGTGCACTTCTGTGTCCTCTGCGGACACATCAGGCTGATGACTTCAACCTGCCCTGAGAGGTTGTCGTGAGGACGAGTGTGTTACAACGGCTGCTGAACACCAAGGAAGTCCCGGTGAGACTGTACACAATATGATTGTAAAGCCAGGAACCTGGGGGGGGGGGGCATCTGCCTCTCTGTTTTCTGAGCACCCCAAGTGTAAGTCCTGCAAGTCACAAAACAATTGAGGACAGTAGGGGAACAACAGTACCTGACTCGGTTTTCAACTCTAACTTTGTTTTTCTATGTGGCCCTTTTGGATAAATGACAAGCTGTTGAGAATTCCACCCCCGAGACAGATGGGTTAGCCCGAGACATCTGTGTGTTTTCTGAGGTCCTAGGGTTCCCCAGCTGAGGGGTGTGGGGCTGGAGGCTTGCACGACTCTGTCTGTGCCTCGTGGAGGTTGGAGGTGGTCTCTTAGGTCTGTTGATTTGTCACTGCAGGAGCCCCGGAGCCATACTTGCTTCATCTAAGGAAATGCGAACTTTCCCAGGGAAGTTCACTCTTAGAGGAGACCCCATAAATCCTTTCGGAAGTGATCTTTTGTGATTTAAATAACCATTTCTAACTCTTGCTTTTAAAATTCAGAAGTTGATATATATATTTTTTAATGTATATTCAGCTCTTGGACACACCTGGGCCCTGTTCCGCTGGTAAGCCTTCAGTTTGCACTGCCTGTCTGGGGGGCCCTTCTGCCTGTCTGGGGGGCCCTTCTGCCATTTCCATCTTTTCTTGCTATGAACGTGTTATATCGGAAGCCCTGCGTCTTTGCACGGTCTCGGGGGCCGGTGTACCCCGCGGGGGCGGGGGTAGGCGATAGGAAAGCTGTTCAATCTTGGATGCAAGGTCACGTAAGGGATAGGCGACCCCATTGGCCGGAGGAGCAGCAGGGGCCAGGACAAGAACATAGCTCTTCCGACCTCTGCCCATACCCTGCGGTCACCTCACTGTTCCAAGAAAGTCCCAGGTGCCAGCAGCTGGCATCACGGGAGTGCCTTCGAGCCGCAGGAGCGAGTCTGCGTACTGTGACGCGGTCCCTGCCATCCGTGGGCGCAGTCATTGAAGGGGGCCCTGCTCTAGGCTTCAGACTTCCCTTAGCCTGACGGACCCATGTGCTTGCGTCCCTGCTGGTTTCCAGGGGCCGTCCCCACGCGAGGACCTCCCTGCTTCATTCCTGGGACTGTGTCCCGTGTTCTTCAGCACGGACGTCCCCCTGAGCCCGCCCCCGGGGCCCCCCGCCCCTCTGACAGTTACCTTTCCAGTGTCTTCCGTTAGAATCCGTTATGAAGTCCCTCGTGTAAACAACATCTTGGGAGGGACGAGGATCTATTTTTGAAAGTGTGAAAGGGAGAAATGAGCCAAATGCGTTCAGCAGATGTCGGCAGCACCGTGACGACCAAAGCGGGGGAGGAGGAGGAGAGAGGGGGACTCTGTGGACACAGGTAGCCGGCCTCCCTCTTACTGGTCAGTAGTTCCTGCCGAAGCCCGGCCCGCCCCCTGGACACGGTCCTCTGGTCCCACAGTGCGGGGCCAGGCCGCCTCTGTCTCGGGGAAGGGCTTCTGGGCTATTCCATCTGACACAGCAGCCCGGAGTCCAGGGCGTGGCTACCCCGTGCTACCCAGGAGGCAAGCCTACGAGACAGAGTCCGGTGCTGGTGTGGTTTCTGCCTAAGGAAACAGTTCTGAGCTAAGCCGTGGGCACCTGTGCCAACAACAAGCTTGCTTCCCTGGCTGCAGGCCCGTGAAGGAGACACCTGGCAGGACAGGGTGTCCGTGTGGGGAGGACTTGCTCCCGCTGGTGCCTCGGTTGCCCGCCTGACATCACCACCGGTAACATGCTCCAGAGAAGAAGGGGGCCGGGACGTGCTCAACATCGTGTGAACCGCATGCCCCGGTTTGCCAACGCCTGTTGTTCCGGCGTCATTATTAACAGCACCCCCTTCACTCGCCAAAGTATCCCAGTTTGGATGACAAATTATGCAGCCAGCCCTCTCGATGTGAAAGACACCCAGGAAAAAAATGTGTTGGCTAGTTCCCATCCCATAATCCTGACCATATGCACACAGTTGCTGTGAGTCTTGATTTTCTCCTCTCTTCTCCGGGGCAGAGTTTTGAAAGTCAGCAGACTGTTCTGCCTGGTGAAATGTCTGCTCACTGTCCCAGGTTGCGTGGCCAAGCCATCCCAAGGGGGTGTCCCCACGCCCAGCGGGGGGCCTCCGCTGTAGGCGTGCTTCACTGATCAGGGACAGACCCTGGACCAAGGGCATGTTTACGTAGCTCCCCAGTCTTATACTTTTACTATTTCCAATATGACGTCAGGTTTAATGTAGACAGTAAGATGGCCGCGTGTCCTAGGGTGTTGGGTAGAAACGGGGATCGTGAACGCTGGGCCTAATCCTGCCCGCTGGAGGCTTCCCTTGGCAAGTGTTCAGTCTCTTGTTTGGAGCCAGGGCAAGGACAGAACCAGAGCGTTCCAAGAAGTAACCAAGAGAAATGCCTTTTAATGAGTGTCACATGAGAGGGTACGGACTCGACATAATGGTACCAGCAGAAACAGCCCGTTCAATTTCTATAACACAGGAGGTCTATCATTTCCTTTGCTTTCCATCACTTGTTTTATTTTGTGTGTGTGTGTGTTTTTTTTGGGGTATCATTCCTCCACAGGACTTGTATTTCCTACCAAACTGTGAAATGTGAAATCATAAAGTATTTGGGGTCTAAACACAGAGAAAAATCTCCGAGGAATAGAATAGCTTTTTTGCCACTTTGAGAAATGAATCAAAATAGAAACACTTCAGTCAACATTGGGTCAAAAAACATTATTATTGATTAAATTACTGCTTCAAACCATCATTTTCCTACTGATGTCTGGAGATTAACTTATTCTTCATACAGAATATGAACAATCAAATTCTATGAATTTTTAATGAATTATTTTTTTTTACAAATTCTGTAGCTAAGAGAGAAATGGTATAAAAGTATACTGTGAAATGAGTAAAAAGCACTAGGTTATATAATTTTAGGTGAAAAGAGCAGAATACAAAATAATATATACACTAAGTCTACACTATATAAAATATTGAACTCTAATTGCAAAAGTAAACAAAACTAGTAATGTCAAGATGGTGGAATGATGAGTATTTTTAAAAAAAATGTATCTAATATTTCTACATAATCTTTCAAATTAAAATAGAACATTTCCCAAAAAGGCACACATAAATTGCGTGTTAATAATTTCAGTTAGATGCTCATATACATTAATATATATGATGCCGGCCCTGGGGCTTGAACTTCTGCTGAGGTCCAGGTAATCTAGCCCGATATAAATTCAGGGAGGACTTCATCCCCACTCACGCAGGGCACTGCCCTCAGCCTGTCACTGGCAAGGACCCCGGGCAGCCATCTGGAGTGTTCCGAGCTGGTATGAAAAGTCCCTGCATTAGACCCAGGCAGAAAAGGGAGCAGGACTTCCTGGCTGTGAGCCAATCACACCAGAGACCTGGAAATGCCAAGCTTGGAACCACATCCATTTCCCAAGCCGTGCCGTGAGTCTGTGAGCTATCAATGTCCATCAGAGAAACAAAGCAGCCTTCCGGGTATTTAAAATATTCAAGTCTAGGCGGCTTCACAATGGTCTTCAGCATGTGCCTTTAGTCAGTGCTACGGGAGAGGAGCCTGGGTGTTAAATGGGACACAGATCTGAGAAATCAGCCAGGCGCACCAGGTCTGAGAGCAAGAAGAATTCCCAGTGTCCTACGCAGGGCGTGTCTGTGCACTGCGCCCAAAGTAATTCAGGCTGATTTCACAATGGGGGTTGCCGGAGAGATTTGCAAATGCATTTACAGTGTTTCTTGCAAGAAACTGACTTGGAACAGAGAACATTTAGGTGAGGCCTTTTGCTTTGATTAGAGAGATCAACTTTGGAAACGAGTCTGCATTTCATAAATGTGGCATTATACATCAGGAGCTGGGGGGTGATCTCCTACGATTCATTTAAAACATCTCCCTAAACCACTAGTTAACGTGAACAATGAAAAGGTAACCAAAGCGCAACAAACGAAGTTGTAAATAGTTCTTTCTCCACTGCGGTCAGCCAGAGATCACCTCAATCTGGCCGCTAAGCGTCCCCAAGTTTAGACTCAAAGAAAGGCACTTATACCGATGAGCATGTGTCAGGCCCTAGGTCTCAGGTTCCCTCTGGCTTGAACCTAGACCATAACGAAGGGAGGTTCAAGGCCTCTGCGAGACACTGAAATAGCACTCTGCTATTGGCTTCTTTGAAAATAGGCACCTTTTTAATAGAAGAGTTTAGTGTAAATCTTACATTGTTTTTATAGTTCAAAAAGCCCACACAAACAAACTGACCCCCACGGAACTTCAGATGAGTAGGTAAGAATTAGCAATAGACTAAGAAGGCGTGGACCATATGACATCCCCACCTGCTCACAAAGAATGGTGGCTATGAAACCGATCAAGATGGTCTCGGATTTTCTTTCCTTCTCTCTCTGTGCCTCTCCTTCCTTCCTTCCTTCCTTCCTTCCTTCCTTCCTTCCTTCCTTCCTTCCTTCCTCCCTCCCTCCCTCCCTCCCTCCCTCCCTCCCTCCCTCCCTCCCCTCTCCCTTCCTTCCTTCCTTCCTTCCTTCCTTCCTCCCTCCCTCCCTCCCTCCCTCCCCACCCACTTCCTTCCTTCTTTCCTTCCTTCCTTCCTTCCTTCCTTCCTTCCTTCCTTCCTTCCTTCCTTCCTTTTCCTTTTCCTTTTCCTTTAATTCAAAATCAGTTTTACTGTGAAGTTCGCCCCTGGTCCTGCCCTCAGCCTTACAAACTCACTCCCTACTGGAGCAGAGGAAAACGACCCTGTCTCAGATTTGGAAATGGCATCGTTTGGTTCCAGGATGCTTGCAAGGGGCACTCTGAGCACAGCTCAGTGACCTTTCCTTTCCGAGTCTTCCCCATCTTTGAAACCTTTGCAAGAGTTCCTGAGTCCAAGAGGAGATGGCTGACGGCCTGCCCCCTCTCTTCTGCCCCAAACCCTGCTCCCGGGGCAGCTAGTGATCTCCCGTGACAAGCTGGGGGTGTCAGCAAGTTGAATGTCTCTGAAGAGGTTAACCCAGTGAGAAATGTCAGCCAGCCGCACACGCAGCTTTGAACGTGACCGAGCGCGGAGAAACGTGTGGCATTGGAGCAAGGGGGGGTGGGCCCGCCATTCACCTGTACGGAGAGGCCGTGCCCCAGGAGAAGTAATCGGTGGGCCTCGGGGCAGGACGCGGCACGATGGGCTGCTCCACGGCGGTGACGTCCCCTGAGTAGGATTTGAGGAGGGAGGCGTTTTTGTTGGCCAGCATGGCTCTCTCGTTCCTGCGGAACTTGGCTCTTCGGTTCTGGAACCACACCTGCGAGGCGGGGGAGGGGAGAGGACACGGGAGGGACAGGAAGAGGAAGAGGAGGTTATGCCGATGGAGTCCTGGTCGGTTTCACTGGGCAGTGCCTTCCTCGGGGAGATGGAGGGGAGGGTGGGCTTCTCCTGAGAACCCCAGGGCCGCGCCCCAGTCCTGCCCGGGGGCCTCGTCCAGCCTCCTAAGGGCGAAGACTCATCACAGGACGAGACCGCAGAGGTGACGGCCAGGACTAAGCCACGAGAGGCCGAGTTATGGGCTCTAACAGTCCCCGTGTAATTACAATCGAGAGAAAGAAGAAGAAGCTCATCAGACGTCTGCTGCAGAGACGACATCAAGTTCCTTGAAAATGGGGAGCCTCCTCTGCTCTCCTAGTGCTTTTCGGCCATGTGCAGAAAACCCTTCATCTTCCCCAAAGCGGAGCCCGGGGCAAGGCATCCAGAAGGAGGTGGTGTGTTTGGGAAATGCAGGGAACAGCCGTGGACGGCAGTGCTCAGCCCCGCTGGACGCCAGGGACCTGCACGGGACAGACCCCCCGGGGGGCGAGAGGGCCCAGGAGTCGCACACCGTCCACGTTGGCTATTACTGTTCCAGCCCGGCCGACATGCTGGACACAGGCGGGCAGCTTCCTGGGCCTCTGAGAGAATCACGGGAAACGGAAAGGAAGATGCCACCTGGCTGGTGTGGCTCAGTGGTTGAGCATCGACCCTGCACCAAGAGGTCACCGGTTCGATTCCTGGTCAGGGCACATGCCCAGGTTGTGGGCCCGATCCCCAGTGGGGGGCGTGCAGGAGGTGGCCAATCGATGTTCCCTCTCATTGATGTTTCTCTCTCTCTCTCTCCCTTCTTTCTCTCTAAAAGTCAACAAAGGGGAAACAAATTTTTTTAAAAAGGAAATGAAGATACCCAAGGTTGGAAGTTGAATGAAGTACATCCAGTTGTTGGAGGGGTATGGGCAGTGCCACCGCGTCATAATCACCCTCTCATTGGTTAAGTGCGCCGGGGCTGGGGACTTGTCTGAGCACACTGCGTACATCAGTTCTAGCTGGCAGAACAGTCCACATTAGGCTGTACTACTTCTATGTCAGAGTTGAGGAGACAGGTTCAATGGGATAAGCCATCGGCTGAAGTTCACACCGATAATAAATGGCTGTTTGAGCTCGAGGACATCTGGCTCATGATCCCGCAGCTCTCCGTACGGCCACGGGATTTTATTCCTTCATTTACTCATTCGGGAGCCTCTACAGAGAGCCTGCTGTGTGCAGACCCCGGCCATCCTGCTGGGGACAGAGGACGAGACTCATGCTCTGCCTATGAGTAGCTCACAGTCTACTAGAAACAGACCCAGAAAATGAAAATACTGCAGAACAAGAGTTTTAGGTGCAGTTATAGAAATGCACGACAAGGTATGGGAGGAAACAATTCTATGGTGCAGAGGGGGACGTTTGTACAACTCTAGGGAGCAACATTCACAGAAAGTACCGTGGGTTGGATGCCCCGCGGATGGGTGCCCCGTGGAAGGCCTGGGTGGAGGTCAGTAAAGGCAGAACCTGGACATAGCTTTCCTGGCTCCGCCGACTCCCAGCTCTTTTGTTTAAATGTGCTCTTCACATTGCTAGTCGGGTTATCATGTTAAACGCACATACACTCCCACGAGTGCCCTGCTACATGCCGCCCGTGGGTTCCCCGCCACCCAGAGTCAAACCACAACCTCTTGTCGTAGAATGAAGACTGCTCAAGAATGAGCTCTTTGTCCCCCAACCCAGCCCCACCCTGCCTGGCTTGGACCCTGCACTGGTCCTCTGTCTTCCCAGCTCCTACCCCGGCTCAAGTCTGTCGATGTCGTCGGTTATTCCTCACCTACATCTATTCACGACGAATACCCCCTCCGCTGTGACGTCCTTCCCCTTCGTCCAGGTACCTCCGTTGTGAAATGTCTTAGAAAGAACATGACTTCAAAGTCTAACTGAGTTGGGTAAAAATATTGGCTATAAGACTTTAAAGATTTGTCCTTGGGTATGTATTTAATTTCTCTGATTCTTCGTCTCCCCATTACATGAAGATCACGATACCTACTCTCAGGGTCGTTGTGACCACTGGCACAGTTCTGGTGTTGAATATATGTGGATTCTCTCTGTCTTTCCCAGGTGGGTTCGACCATTCCTTCCTCTGATCTATCACTAATTTGTTTTGTTTTGTTTTATTCTTGAACATTTCTTTAATGTAGGAGTCATCTTACCGTATCATAACAGTGTGCTGTGCACATCTGTCTTGCCTGCCCCCAGTCTGTGACATCCTTAAGGAAGACCAGTGCCTTAGGCACCCCCAAATCCCAAACCAGTTCTAATAGCATAATAGATGCTTGATAAATGTTTAAGGGAGGGAAAAAAAGAGTAGAGGGTAAAAAGACGAATTGCGAGAATATGATAAGATATGGCTTCCATCCCAGAAGATGTCACAGTCTAGTGGGGGAAGCTGGCCCACATACAACTCGATGTAATACATGTCATGTGGTGATCAGTGCTGTGCACATGAAGAAGACCAGAGTCAGAAGGGCGTGGTTCAGGGGACAGGGGGGACTTCCTGGGGGAGACTGGGGTGCAGCAGGAGAACCCTGGCCTGTGGGCCCAGGGAACGTGCTCACTCTGAAACCACTGGGAGACAGGGGCGTGAGAGACGAGTCAGGGAAAATAGTTTCTGCACAGAAGAAAGGCATTTAATTATGGTTCTGATGGGGCCAACATAGCTCCCAACCCCCAAATTGTGCTGAAACATTCTCCCCCCATTTGCAGCATTGCCCGGGCCAGGTCTCCTTATCTAAAATTCAGATTAGCACAGGGAAGGTGGTGCCTTCAGGTCCTGGGGGTTATGGTCTCGAGTTGTTCATTATACCGCTGTAGCCACGCCCGGGGCATAAAGGATGGGGGTGGGGAGGGGGGAGGGGTGTAAGCAGAAACAGAGCACGTTTGGGGAGCTGCGGTAAGCGGCATGGGGAAGAGGGTGTGGGGAGGCCAACCTCAGAGTCCTGCTTTGGGTAGAGTTTTGTCCCTGTGGTCACTGAGCAGGGACCCGAGTGGTCCTGTGTAACTCCCTCCAACCCCTTCCCAGGGACACCACGGCGCCCAGGCAACTTGCCCCTTTTGTCACCGACATTTTTCTCCTGGGGAGCGCTTGTCAGTGAGCTTGCTGTTTCCCATGGGACAACCTCACATGCTTTCTCCTCAGCCCGAGGGACCTCCAGGACCCTCTTCCTCCCTCCACAAGCATCTGTCACTGTGCACCGTGCGCATGGCCCTCAGGGCCACTCGAGTCCCCGGCGGGCTAGAGGGCTATTATTTCCGGCCAGACTGAACACAGACGTACAAACAATAATTTCTGCAGGAAGACAGGACAGCTTTGGGCCGCCCCCCCCACCCCCCCGATCTAAACAGCAGCCTACCCCTGGCAACACGAAGATAATAAGACGGTGACTTTCAGCAGAGACCAAAGTGCTACTTGAAAAAGCATTTAGCCAGGAGACTCCTATTTATTCAAAGTCTACTGTAGGGCTTAAAACCACGAGCTCTGGGTCTGCAGAGCTGGGTTCAAATCCTGGCCCAGCTAATTCCTCCCTGTGTGAGGCTGGGCAGAAACTTCACCTGTCTGCGCCTCCGCTTCCTCACCTGGGCAATGAATACAAGTGTCACTGAGCCGGTGTGAGGGTAAACAGATCTGCTTCCGCAGAGGGCCAAGACGCGGCCCCGAAGTGCTCAAGGGGTGAGTTCCCTGGTCATCGTCACTCCTAACCAGGGGGTGTTACTCCTCGCTGTGGGTGAGCCATGGCATTAATGGTAGAATTAGTCCCCTTCCCTCTCTCACCCTCCCTTAGCCTTCTGCATGCCACAGAGTCTCAGACCCTGCCCTTGGCTGCGCCCCTCACACAGCTCCCTAAGTCGAGGTCTTCCTGTGACCCCCCGTGGTGCCGCAATCACATGTGTTCGTACACATTTCTGGAAGGTCCGTGCGTTGCCAAAGTCTAGGGAGGGGAGCTGAGCTTCGAGTGAGAGAGTTCATGTCTCTGTGCGCCTTAAGGCTCGAACTGAAGTCTGGGGGTGCGGGAATCGGAATGGGTGGGGAACGAGGAGGAGTGAGACCTGTCGCAAGGCATAGTCTCCCCCACTAAAGACACAGCCCCCCACCCCACCTAAAGACACAGGCCCCACCCCACCTAAAGGCATAGTCTCCCCCACTAAAGACACAGCCCCCCACCCCACCTAAAGACACAGGCCCCACCCCACCTAAAGGCATAGTCTCCCCCCACTCCCCTAAAGGTACAGCCCCCCACCCCACCTAAAGACACAGCCCCCCACCCCACCTAAAGACACAGCCCCCCACCCCACCTAAAGACACAGCTCCCCACCCCACCTAAAGGCATAGTCTCCCCCCACTCCCCTAAAGGTACAGCCCCCCACCCCACCTAAAGACACAGCCCCCCACCCCACCTAAAGACACAGCCCCCCACCCCACCTAAAGGCACAGCCCCCCACCCCACCTAAAAGCATTCAGTTCAATTTTTAAAAAGACTCTGCTGCCTCAAGAAACACTATGAGGAACGGACCCTGTCCTGAGGCCGTCCATTTACATCCTAATGAACTCGCACCCTCTCCAGCCGCGCACCCCGGGCTCGGGCTCGTGTTCTGGGGCAGCCTGGACACCCCGGGCTCATGTTCTGGGGCAGCCTGGACACCCCGGGCTCGGGCTCGTGTTCTGGGGCAGCCTGGACACCCCGGGCTCGGGCTCGTGTTCTGGGGCAGCCTGGACACCCCGGGCTCGGGCTCGTGTTCTGGGGCAGCCTGGACACCCCGGCTCGGGTTCTGGGGCAGCCTGGACACCCCGGTTCGTGTTCTGGGGCAGCCTGGACACCCCGGTTCGTGTTCTGGGGCAGCCTGGACACCCCGGTTCATGTTCTGGGGCAGCCTGGACACCCCGGGCTCGTGTTCTGGGGCAGCCTGGACACCCCGGCTCGTGTTCTGGGGCAGCCTGCAGAGACGAGCCCCGACAGGGAGGACTGCTCACCTGCACCCTGGCCTCGGTGAGGTTCACCCGGCGGGCGAGGTCTTCCCGCACGAAGGCGTCGGGGTAGTGGGTCCGCTCGAACACGCGCTCCAAGGCCTGCAGCTGGCTGCTGTTGAAGGTGGTCCGGTTCCTCCGCTGCTTTCTCTTCTTCTTCTCCTCCGAGTTCAGCTGGTCATCTGGGGTAGAAGACACTGACGATGAGAGCTAGTCGCACCCCGTCACTGTGCGTCTACGGTGAGCGAATGCTGCTTTGCTCACAGATTTACCGACGTGCTAGAGCCCAGCAGCCCTGTCCCCGTGCAGATGGGGCCTCGCTGCCCACGCCTTCCTGTGCCCAGAGCCCAGCAGAGCTGACACTTGGTTGCTGCTTGGAAATCTCGGACCAGACCTGAGCGTCTAGGGCAGTGGTTCTCCACCTTCCTGATGCCGGACCCTTCAACACAGGTCCTCGTGCTCTCTGTGGGCGCATCTGCAGGTGCGCCGACCCGCCTGGGGACGGGGAGAGGAGCGGGGTCTCGCTTCCTAAGACCATCCGAAATGTGTGTTCCGATGGTCTTAGGCGGCCCCTGTGAAAGGGTCGTTCGACCTCCAAAGGGGTCATGACCCACAGGTTAAGAACCGCTGGGCTAGAGGGACATTTCTTACGTGCTCTCTGAAGCCTTTTTTGTCCAAGAGGCTACAGGAAAATTTTGCTGCTGCCCAGATCCTGTGGGCTTCTCTAGAGCTGGGGAGAAGGTTGCTTTGGACCTCATTTGCCTCGGACAATATTATGTTCATTCATATGGTTTCATAACCAAGGAGACCAGCTATCCCTGGCTCTCTCTCCTCCACACACCCACCTAAACACAAATGCAAAGTCACAGAGGAGAAGTTTCTCCGGGAAGCAGCCAGGAATGTGTAACCGCACCTGCTCAAGACTGTGCTGTTGCTGAGGCCCCGGCCCAGATCAGGGTTAGTGCTCGTAGCACCATCCACCTGAGCTGACCGGGGCCTGGGACTCACCTGTCACCCTGGGAGAACTCAGGGACAAGGAACAGCACAGAAAGACCTCTGACCCCGTTTCACCCCAAAATGGAGTCCTTAAGGCCCAAAGACCTTAAAGTCCTTAGAAGAAGCATGACCCCAAGTTTTCACCGTCCAGTTCCCTCCTTGGTTTCCCCTGAGTCCCCCCCAAAGTACCCTGGCAAGCTGACCACCCAGCCCGTCCACAGCAGTTAGAGTTGAATGCTCCTGTCTGCCACCCGGCTCAGCCCAGGACTGATGGACGCATGAGCTGCACGGAAAACCCACTGTGCCGACACCCCATCCAGCCGTCACCCCGTCCAGCCATCACCCCGTCCAGCCGTCACCCCGTCCAGCCGTCACCCCGTCCAGCCGTCACCCCGTCCAGCCGTCACCCAGAGGCCGCGCCGCCACGGGCCTGTGCAGCAGATCAGCGTGAGCTGCCAGGCGAGGCCCACGTCCCACGCAGCCGGAGGAACTGGACGCCCACTTCCAACAGCTCTGCGCCCAGAGAGAAAGACGAGGGCAGAGGGAGGGTGGAGAGAAGGGAGCCTGAGCACTTGCTCACCTTCCACAGGAAACAGCTCTCGGCTGGTTTCCCACAGGCCAAGTCCCCTGACCCCCTGGACCGTATTCACACAGTGCACTCAGGCGACCACGGCACCCGGCACATGTCCTGATGAAGTGGCAGTAACGTCGGCACGGAGGGAGGGAATGTTCTAGATGTGGGTGTGCAGTCACAGTGTAGCTAACTCTGGGAGCGCCTCCCTCGCCCAGTGCCTAAGAGCTGAGGCCTCCAAGTCTCTCTGGCCAGAAGCTTCCTCCCCCCGCGCCCCCCCCCCCAGGAGTGCCCTCGGAGCTTAGAACAGAGGGGGCACATTTCTTCTTTAAATGTTGTTTTCTTTATTGATTTTAGAGATAAGAAGGGAGAGGGAAAACCCTGGCCAGTTTGGCTCAGCGGTTAGAGCATCGGCCCACGGACCAGAGAGGCCCGGGTTCGGTTCCCACTAAGGGCACGTACCTCGGTTGCAGTTTGTCTCCGGCCCCGGCTGGGGTCATGTGGGTGGCAGCCACTCAATGCGTCTCTCTCACGTCGATGTTTCTCTCTCTCTTACTCCCTCTCTCCCTCCCTCTCTCCCTGAAGATAAATGGGGGGGGGGGGGGATGTCCTCGGGTGAGGATAAAAAAAAGAAGGGAGAGGGAAAGAGAGATGAAACATTGACGAGAGAGAACCGATGAGATGGCACATTTCTTTAGGCAGCCAGTAGAGTAAGTGCTGGTTGAATCTGTTTCCAGGGAAGACGGGGACCTTTTCTCGTTTGAAACACTGTTTCGGTAGAAAAGAAAACCTATATGGTTCCAACCACATCCCCCGGCTCCAAAGCCCCGAGAGTCGTCCTTGGCTTCGCGGTTGCCTGGCCCACCCTTCTCTGGTTTTGTCACACCTGGTCTGGGAGCTCTGCTTCAAAGTCACCGCGGTGACACTCACCAGGGGCGGATCGGTGGCATCTTGAGAAAGGAGCCAATGTCACGATCATGATTTCTGAGATCTCTCAAGGCCTGGAGTATTCTAACCAATATCCCCCCTGACACCGCTATTTGGTTATTAGCGAACTTCATCTGCAACAGTATCCACACGAGAACGCAAGCTCCTGGGGCCCCATTTGTGTGCTTCTTCCTAGCTGCGTGTTTGCGGTCACTCCCGGTATTGCCATTCTCTTCCCAAGTTCCTGTGGTACGGTTCTGTATGTCTCGTACCCCGGGCCGCTCTGCCACCCCGGCCTTGCCAACCCCAGGCCCTGCATTTCATGTTCCCATTACACAGAGGTTTGCAAAAGGTCCCTGGCGTCTACAGCTACCCGGACAGACCAAGGAGACCTTGGCTGTGATCTGAATCCGGGGGAGGAAGCCCCTTCCCGCTGGTGCTGACGCGGTCTCCTCCGGAGAAAACCTGTCTCGGGCACCACGGTCGCCTGGTGCTGGTGGCGCCTGCGTCCCCGCGGGCTGCCGCCGGGCTGCACACAGGACCTCCACGGCTCGCGCTCAGCCCACGGCCTGCGTCAGACCCCTCGGCGTCTCCCACTGTCCACGCAAACCCGCGCTGACGGCCACCGCTCCCCGGAGTGGAGCCAGGGGCCTGAGAACCAGGGTTTCCGACAGAGTCAGTAGCTGCAATGACCTGAGACCGGCCCAGCAAAGTTTCCCACGAACGCCCTTGTTGTCTTGAGCAAATGAAAACACCAGTGTGGATTACAGTGAAGGCGAGAAAAGACACGCGAATGACAGGGATCCAGGGAGCCTGGGTCTGGCCAGTGTCCCCGGAGTGTGAGCATAATAGGAAGAGACAGTGAGGGGGCAGCGGGGACAGCTTGAGCACAGCCCTCGGCTCGTCTGTCTTTGCTCACGAACCACGAAGTGTGAGTCCCCTTTTCCCCCACGAACATGCGCACACAGGGCCCGGCGCCCCTCTGCCGCAGTGCAAGGGGAGGTAAACACGGGAGGTTCACGAAGGGGACATCTGAAGGGCCTGTGATCAGCTCGTGAGGTTCCAGACCGAGCCTAAGGCGGAGAAAGCAGGGCACGGTCACACTGCCTGAGGTCACCTTTCTTGTGCAGACAGCTGCGGGGAAGGGGGCTCTGAAACATGCTATTCAAGGGCGCTGACGTCCAGCCGGGCAGCCTCTCACTCCCGCAAACCCTGCGGAGGGTCCCCGAGCTGCAGCGGGACCACAGGGGACACGATGCGTTTTTACCAAAATCCCGGTGTTTCAAATCCAAGGTGTTCACAGGTTTTGTGGATGATTGTGTATGTTGCGAATGACCACGAACTGCAAGTACAATGATCTTATTGACCAGGTGCAATTATGAGTCATAAAATATGAGCACCAAATGAAACCAGAGAAATGGTCTAGTTCAACCCCATTATTGACAGATGAGGTGAAGGAGACTCTGGAAGAATAGAGACTTGCCCCGAGCAACACCACAAGGCACGGCTGAGCCCGGAATCCTAACGCCACTCGGGTCTAAGAAGGAGGGTCCATGTGTATCCGACATTGTCATTCCTACCAGAGAGCCACTAAAAAATGCAACTGTTCTTGCCTGGCCGGGGAGCTCAGTTGGTTGAGCATGGTCTTGTGCACCACAAGATTGTTGGTCCAATTCCCGGTGAGGGCATGTGTCTGGGTTGTAGGTACTGAAGGCAGCCGGTCAATGTTTCTTCTCACACTGATGTCTCTCTCTCTCTCTCTCTCTCTCTCTCTCTCTCTCTCTCTCTGTCTCTCTCTCTCTCTCCATGTCCTTGAGTGAGGAGTGAAGAAAAAAATGCAACCCTTCTCACCTAGAATAGCTACTTTGATCCAGATGTTCCTGAATTTTCCTTTTAGTGGCCTCCATAAGTCCTTGCTTCATCAGTTCAATGTGTGCAGGTCATTTCAATCCATAGTACACCCCTATCTTCTTCCCACACCCTTTCTGACACTTTCTTTCATTTTAGGGCCCCCTTCAACATCCACTTCCTATGACACATGTCAAATCTTACCTCCTCTATAAAACTTCGCTGGTAACTCCATTCTCTAAATCTCTATATATATTAGTATAGAATCAAATACTTGGTTAAAATTGTGGTTCAACTCTTTCTACGTCCGTGTTTTGTCACCCTTTGCAGTCAGGTGTTCCTACAGAAAATAAATAGGGTCTCTAGTGAAGTTAATGACAGTAAACAGTGAAGGAGTTAGGATAGTACTGTGGTACACAAGCAATCCCGGAAAATTAGAAGCTTGGTGATTCAGCTGCATTAATTCCTGAATCCCAATGATCCTTTTTAACAGAGCACACAGCCAATCACTGGGCTAACGTCATCTTTTGTCTGGGGATAATTTTACCTGGGGGACAGGGAACACCTTTTACCATGTTTCTTTTTCAAATAGGTTAGTCATCAGATAGAGAGAAGGTGAAATTGTGGCGGTCGGATCCGTTTGCAAAGGCAGGAACTAGTCCTTCCCTTTTATTTTATTTTATTTTTTCCCCTTGTTTGATTTTAGATAGAGAGAGATAGAAACATCTATGAGAGAGAACATCGATTGGCCGCCTCCTGCATGCTCCCCACTGGAGATCGGGCCCACAACCTGGCATGTGCCCTGACTGGGAATCGAACCAGCGACCTCGTGTTGCATGG